TAGCAGCTCCTAACTCCTGTAGCATGATACACAAACAAATCAATAAAAGTCATATGTGCAACAATTGCAATACTATGTGACATAATTCTACTTAGAAGTATTGGCAGGCATTATGAAAGGTAGATGAAATGGCATTCATACTTTAACAAATGACAGAGTAGGACTTTCAGTACTTGGGTAAATCCATAGGAATATACAACATGAGAAGAGTAAAAGACACCAGCTTCTACATATCCAACCACAATAACTTAAAACCCTCCTCAACCATCAAAGTAGAATAGAAAACATACCAATTGGGTTAACATTGCCCCAATAGCTCTCATTCTGGGGATGCTCAAGTGGATCTCCGTATACCTCTGAAGTTGAGGTAAGCAAAATCCTGTTGCAAATAATCATACCATGAGCTATGTAGGCATATATTTATAAACATTATATCATAGATATAAGTAACAGTCTCAAACCTTGCTCCGACACGCTTTGCAAGTCCCAACATATTCAATGTACCAATCACGTTTGTCTTTATTGTCTGTTTAATGTTACATAAACATAGTTTTCAGGTAGGGTTTAAAACAAAATAAAGAGTCTTACAACTGATATCTCATCTAGGAGATAGCATTATTCTGCAGATGAATCTTATTACCTTCACAGGATTGTATTTGTAGAAAATTGGAGAAGCTGGGCAAGCAAGATGGTATATCCGATCAACCTCAACTAGCAATGTCTCAGTTACATCTGCACAAAAAATAAAGAAACCATTAATATTTGAACTTGAATATAATATTCCAACATTGTCAGCTATAAATTACTCAACATATAGAAGAATACCATGACGAATAAGTTCAAATCTTGGATGCCCAATCCATTTCTTCAGGTTGTCCTTGGAGCCAGTAAAGTAGTTATCAACAACAATAACCTGAACAGCAAAAAAACAGAACAAATGTTAAACTGTAAGCAACGCACAAGTATCATTTAATAGATACGAGCATACTGATCCAAATATCTGACTGCACAATAGCCTTTGGGTTTCGCCCTTCTTCACACCTTAAACAATCTAGCGTAAAGAAACCTGTGCTATTAACAATATGAGCTCACCTCATTCTTTTCATTCTCCATCAACCTGTCCACTAGGTGGGAGCCAATGAATCCAGCTCCTCCGGTAACCAGAATTCTCATGTTGGACTGCCCAAAAAACAAAGATCAGATTCCACAATCACATATTATAAGTAACTAAGATCAAACAGGACTCTGTTCTGCAGGACTTATAAGAAAACTTTAAAATAAAGAAAAAAAACTCACCATTAAACAAAAAGCTAATTCAAGGTCAAGTACAATGACATAATTGACTAGTACAAGATTATCAGGCAGACAGTAACAATGCAAATTGACAAACTAAATTCACATGAAATTCCATTAAAAAGGGCAATTGATGCGAGAACTGCAATTTAGTCTTATCATTTGCACTTAGCAAACAGCATAGTTGTCAACATTTCATTCATTTCTACATAGGATTTACTGATATCAAAGTAAAATGAGAACATTTAGACTTGAATAAACAGAGATCATTAGCAACAACATTTATGCATAACCAAGATTCTTAAACTTTAAAAAGAAAAAAAACACTAAAAGAAACAATATTTTCCAATAAATTAAAACCAAATCCAGACATGCTAATAAGCTGAAATCTTAAAACTGAATTTATCTTACCTGGAAAAACTTGGAAAATCTCAAAGGAGATGGACTCGGAGGCTTCTTAGAAGCTGAGTTGTAATCACCATTTGCAGACATTTTTTCAGATCTTTACTTGAAATCCTACACATAAAACAAACCAAAACTCTCAAAATTCACCATCAACTCCTCCAAAAACCATCCACATACAAAGCAGAATTTAACAAAAAAAGAAAAACTAACCAAACTCAAAATTCCCCAAAATTTTTCTATTTCTTCTATGCCTGTACAAACTAGGAGATTGCGAGCCTAATATATACAAATAAATTTGATCCAAACAAAATTAATTAAATACTTCAAAATTGAAATCAAAATAAAAATTGAATGACCAAACTGTACCAACCAGAGTGAGAGAAAGCAAAAAGAAATCTTCAAAACCAAGAAGAGTAAATAACAATCAAAAGCTTCACATTAACAACACTATAGCCCACACCAAACTCAAAAACAAAAAAAAAGCTTTTCAGATCTCAATCTAAATCCAATGGCCTAAAAGGCCACTGCATTAAAACAAAAAAATTAAAAAATTGTACCTTGAGAGAAACAATGTGAAGATAAAATTTGGGTTTTGCTTAATTTAATGGAATTTTGAAGAAAAATGAGAACTTTTAAGGATTTGAAGTACATATGGGCGTGAAACTTAGAGCCAGTTTTTATACTGTGATGTTGAGGTTGTAGAGATGCAGTAAAAAACAAGGAAATCTAAGGAAATCATTGAGAAAAATTGGATGTGATGACCTGGCATGGCAATATGTTTTGGTAAATTTTTATCTACAGTCTGCTTTCCAATTATGGAATGCCACGTAACCTTCCTTTCCAATGGTTGTTACTCATGAATCGGCCATGACTTCACGTGTTTGGACGGGTTACCCTTCCAGGGAGATTTTTGTTTGCTGCGGTTGGATGTACTGTAACCTTGGTATACCTTTTTAATTAAATTACTTTTTTTAAAAAAATAATTAATAAATATTATCATTTATATATGTCTAAATAATGAAAGAGTTAAAATTTAATAGTTAAACAACAAAATATAATTTACATGATTGAATAAAATTTATTTGTATAAGTATACTTTTATTTTAAATTATATAATGAAAAGATAATTCTCTTGTCTTTTTCATTTCATATATTCCATTTTATTAATTCAAAATTAAAAATTGATATTTTAAATTGAAATTTTCAGTTTTCAATACTAAAATATCTCCTTGTAGATAAATTCTTATATATTTTATATTTTAGTACGTTAATTATTATTTTCAATTAGTTTTTAAATTTTATGTTTATTGGTCTATTTAAAAATAATTTTAAATTTTTTATGTTTTTAAAAATTAAATTAAAAATCCCAAACAAAATTAAATAAGAAAATAAATAATTTAATTTTTTCAATATTAAAATAAAAAAGTATTTCATGCATTTTATCCTAAAAACAATTTGAACTTCTAAGAAGAGCCACGTTGATGGTGACATTTGTCTGATGGCCATGTTCTGAACACGTGTTATATCCTGACTGGTTGATATCATATATCATTGGTGGTCCACGGACCATCTGATAACTTCTGTGAATAGAGAAATTTCCGAAATTATACGGTCCTCCGCTTATCGGCCACGTCGGATACAGCTAATTGTGTAGTTTAAGGAGAAATTGATAGTCACAGTTCAAGTGCATGGTAGTCGACGCTGCAGCCTTATCCTGCCGCGTCAGATCCAAACCATCAACTTTGACCTTGTGATCCAAATGTGCCAATTGTCAAATCTCAAAGTTGTATCAATTTGTTACCTATTGACAAACTTTGGTAGAGATTGATGGGAATTGAATGTCTAACGTGTTTCCTCTAATGCTTTCACTTTGTACGTGAATATTTTATTTAATAATAAATATATTTTTTAAAAAAACTAGAATTCGAATACTATCATTTTAATAATTTACAAATTTACTTAAACCCTTTTTTATATTTGTTATCAATAGCTTATTTATACTCACATTTCTCAATTTTTTTTTAATTATTCTTGAAAATTTCCACAGAATTTCATTGTTTAAGGTAAACTTGTTTTTGATTTTTCTAATTCTAAAATATTTAATTACATTTTCAAAATGACAATCTAAATGAATTCTATAAATTAATATTTGATCTCGACTTGAAACTTAAATTACTTAAATAGTAAATGCTTCTACTCACTCCATTGTCATCTTTTTTTTTTTAAATACTTGCCTTGACCATGTCAATGGTTTAATCGGTACATAAGGACACATCAAGTTTAATAGACAGGAAAGTACCTTGGCGTAACTGATTTTAGTTTCTCAAAAGCTAATTGAAACAAGAATCTCAACTTGATTAAAACATTGTAGAGTTTACAATGAAATGCATTCTTATACCCTAATTGATCATTGTTTTATAGGGTTTAATAATCATTGCTCCTCTAACTTACTGAACTTCTATTTAGGTATGATATGTCTTCTTAATTAAAAATTATTTGTAGATAAAGAATCCATCACTCTTATTTTTTTTTCTATATCTTTTTGTGTAATTGACATATATATATTTATATTTATATATCTATTAACTATTTTTCTTGTAATGTAATGTCACAAATTTAACATTAGTATACAAAATTAAATGAACATTGGATTTATAAATAAAGGCTCTTTCCGCCTAACAAGTATGTTTTTTAAATTGAAAATATAGGCTTATGATAAGTGACATAAGAGTTTACTAAAATTATTACTGATGTGGGATCCTTCATGAAAAATACTAATATTGATGTAGACTAAGATCAAGATGAGTCTCTTTTATCTATGTGTAAAAGAGTCAATGTTAGGAAAATGTTACACAATTAAGTAAAGAAAAATATTATGAATTTCATATCAATAAAAGATAAGATAAGTCTTTGACATGTAAATAAAGATATTCATCTACCTAACATGCATACCTTTTAGGTTGGAATTATGCTCTTGCAACAATAAGACATCGTCATTTGATCTTATACTTATTATATCAACTATTTTTTCTCAATTCTTTCTATGTCAATTTCTATTAACGTTGATGGTACAATTTTAATGTGTTATAGCAAATTTAACTCAAGGCAAATCCACTTATTTTAAATTATTCATTGTTTAAATTAGGGCATTTTGGCGCATTAAAATCCAGGGGTGGCTGTAGTTTAGTGGTAAGAATTCCACGTTGTGGCCGTGGAGACCTGGGCTCGAATCCCAGCAGCCACAGCAAACCCTTTTTTGCCAGATTTTTGAACTTTTCTCTTGGGCTGAAAAGAGCCCAGCACGCAGTCGTTTTGCTTCCCAAGACCACTACTACAATACAAAGTTCAAGTCAATAGAGAGAGAGACAGAAGGGGGATTCTCGGTTCCAGTCGTTTTTTTCCGGAGATCTGCTCCTTGGCTCGTTCCATTGGCGCTTTGGCCTCTCCTCGATCAAGAAAGGTACGCCGTTTCTTATTCGATCCCTCTCCCGTTTCGCCTTTGTTTTTTCTCTGTTTAATTACCGTAGTAACAGACCACGATCTTGAAGCAGATCGCCGATTTCTTTCTGATTCACAGTCTACAAATGGATTTATATTTTTTTCCTTTTTTTTTGTTTCTTTTTTCGATTGTTTTGAAAGAGCCCACGTTGTTTCCCCACTGTTTCCTGGGATTGGCTTTGGGCTTTGTGTCTAGTTCTCGATTAGGGAGTCCTAGCGATTTCAGTATATAAGTCGAAAATCGAATGATGTCAGTAAAATGCGATCGCATAGCGGAGTGGATATCGCGTTAGACTCCGAATCTAAAGGTCGTGGGTTCGAATCCCACTGCGATCGCCAACCGTTCAACCGATTTTGCATTTTGAGCCTAGTGAAGTTTTCAGTAATTTAGAATTTTTTAGAGCATTTTTTTTAAAATTTAAATTTGAATTGTAAGGAAGAACATAGATGAGTTAGGTGTATTGAAGCTCAATTACGTGCTCATTGATGACTTACAACATTCGGAACAGTTTCTTTCTTTGTGCACATGCTGATAGGATCTTCAGGTTATAATGTGTATACATTGTTACCGTCTGGATTTGAATTTGATATGAAAATCTGGCTGAAAATCTTAGTGACTGCCTGACTGGTATATTATTGGTTAAAGAACTATTTTAAAAGGGCTCTTTACTTTATCTTAAACTAAACAGACCGATGTCAGATACTCTTTGAAAACTTTAACCCCTTATACTTGTATGATGATTACTTGATTATTTTATCGAAATTAATATACGAGTTGCCATAAACATGACATTCGCGTGTCTGATACGTGCTAGTGCTTGAGACTGGATCTTGAGTGCGTGTAAATGAGGTGAAGAGTAAAGAGAGTAATTCTGATTGAAATTAGATTCTTTTTATAGGGATATGTCCAAGGTGCTCTCAGTTTATTGCTTGCTGCTAATAACAATGTGTAATTAATTCTCAAAGTAAGAATTAGTTATTATTAATAGAATTGGATGAAATGGAGTAGTTTTAGTCTGGAAAGAATGACTGGCTTTTCAGCCATAATGCATCCATTGTTCACGGCAATTCCTCTGTTGTTGTTGGGAATAATGGTCCACATCTAGTTTGCTTCATGTTGGTTTTAAAACTGTCAATATTAATTTGTACCCACAGTAGCTTTTTAAGATTAGAGTCAATAAGATTTATGAACTTTAGTCTGGCATGTGTTTAGTTCAGCTGTTTATTGCCTAAAGGGTAGAACTTATCACCAACTATTGTATGCATATATTCCTATTGAACTTGAGGTAGAATGCTTACTAAGTTAACGTAACCAAGTGTCTGGAAAATACTATGAGTTTTTTAAACTTGCTTCTCATAATGGGTTTTATTGCTAATATTTTTTAAAAACACGGCATAATTACTTTGTGATGAGCTACTGATATGTGAGGATTTTATGTGCTCGTGCAGATGATTGATGATCAACAGCTGGGATTTCTTGCAAATTTTCTAGGCATTTTTATATTTGCTCTGGTAATTGCTTACCACTACGTGATGGCTGATCCAAAATATGAAGGAAACTGAACGCCAAGATAAAGTATGCGCTTTTAGATAAGCACCTAGATTATACTTGTACCATGTTAGTATTGTTTGCAGAACTGTACCGTAAAACTTGTCCCTGTCAATCTTAGTTTTCTACTGAAGATTGGGCTATAAAATTTTCTTTAGACTTGAAGCATATTAACATGGTTCTTCAATGCATTTAGTGATGCTTTGTCAAGATGACCGTTATCATTGAATACACACACATGCAAACACAACATTTTCCTTGCATGTCTTCCCATTGTTATCGTTAACAATATTATGAACGAGTTAAGCATTGAAGGTTATTAGACTAGCTCAAAACTAGGATTTCTGCTCAAATTTTCATTTCTAACCAAGCACTTGAGCCAAGGCCAAGTGGTAGCTAGCATCGTCCCGGCCATGTTTAAATGTTTTCATTCATTCCCTTCAGGAAAAAGAAAGGCTCCCACCTTCTTAGAATACTTGTGTTTATGATGTTGAAATGCTGATGTTTAGTGCATGACTAGCATACGCACACATGCTTGCACATGCCATGTTCCTTGCAAGTCTTGCTATTGTGAATGTCTTCAACAATTCTATGAACAAATTAAGGAAAAGAAGAGTGTTAGAATCCGAAACTAGGACCCTTCTACTCAAATCCCCATTAATTATTTCCAAATTCCTCCAACCAACCACTTGAGCCAAGCCTAACCGGTACCATCATTTTCGGCTTGTGTTACATTCTCTTCATTCATTCCTTCCAAATAAAAGGCTCCCACTCTCACCTTGTCAAAAATTGCTATGCTTGTGATGTGAAATGCTTGATTAATAGTGCAGGACTGCCTTGATTTGCTTCTTGTCCATTTGTGGTTTGGATTGTTATGAGGGTTTCTAAACTCCACACCCACTTTGCGAAACCTCTGGCTGCCCACATATCTTGTCAGTCTACATGCTTTGCATTAGCAGAAGTTATTCCATTTTCTGTGGTTTAAGGGGGAAACTGTCACTTCCGCCATGATTATGCAACAACTCCTAGTGCTTATTCACTAATTAAGCATAGCGTGGATTTTCTTTGGATGAGCATAAAGCCTCAATGTCGTGTGACCACCAAATTCAGCACCAACAGAAGTAATGTGGAGAAGTAAATGGAGTCATAAATTCAAACTTATAGCTTCCCAATCCACTATGATATATTTTTAATTGGTATTTTTAACATGAAAATACTAATACATTAATAAATCGATTATTAAATAAATCCTACTTAAACCTTAGCTAGCAATAAATTAAATAAAGAATACAACAAGCCCTCATGTACAAATCAGTCCATTGGGGCCACTTTACTAAAACGCAAATCGGCGAATCACCTCTGGTCACCATGACATGTAAATCCCAGCAGAAGAAGGGAAAAAACATATCATAGCGTACGGTACACAGTGAAAGCCCTACACCTTCACACACGCAAAAGTATTCTTTCTTTGCTCTCTCTCTCTTCTAAAATCTACAGATGAAAACGAGAGCCGTTGATTATGTAACAGACGACCCGAAAACCCGATAGCAGAGACGAAAACCCGAGAAACAAAAACCCGGCGAAACCCAGCGCCACAGAGATATCGGATTGTACGCAAAACGAGTTCGATGCCTTACATGTGTCCGTCCCTTTTAACGTCTTCGCCAACGCCGTTCCCGCCGAATCGGCCGACAGTAATAAATATGCGAACACCTAAATTGAAAATTGAACAAAGAAAATTATAATTAAAAGAAAGGAAAAGGAAAGCTTTCAAGTTTTGGGTTAAATTATTTTCTTTACGAAAGAAAGAAAAAGAAAAAGAAAGAGAAACCTGGTCGTGGCCAAAGTCGAACCAAACTTGGAGGATTTCGGGGAAGAGAGTGCCTCCCGTGGAGATCTCCCAAACGGAAACGCCCATTTCGAAAAACGAATACAACGCCACGATTGCGTTTGCGGCGAAAACGAATCTGCGGTGAGATTTCGCGGTTTGCTTTTAATTGAAGCTTTTTTTTTTATTTTGAATTTTATGAAATTAAAATGGGAAAGGAAAAGAAAATGGAAATTAAAAGTTGTTTTGTTCTTTATCTGAAATATGAAGCAAAGAACCGCGCCTTTTCGAAATTGTTAAAAATTAAATTTTTTGCAACGAAACAAAGGCTTTTAAGACTGACCTGAAAGCGTCAAAATCGAACCAACGAGGAGAATCCGAGCCGCGAGAGTTAGTGACCATGAAAACGGAGGAAGCAAGTGAGAAAGCGAAAGCGGCGAGCCGGAATACGAGAATCAGTGAGTTGAATCGTCTGAGTTTACGGAGGGTTACAGTGGAGTGAAAGTGAGGGGTAAGGATTCGGTGGTGAGGGGAAGGGGCCTCGCCGTTGTGGACAGCTTGTGGGGACAGCATGATGAACGGCTGCGATGATGGTGGTGGTCGCGTTGGCGGAGGTGGAGATGGCTGTAAATTTCGTGATGGAGGGGAGGAAAGGAAATGAAAGTGAGACTCATGAGAGAAACGGGAAGAAGTTTGGAAGGAGAAGAAGAAGAGAAGGGTTCGAGTCACGGGTAAGGGAGATGGGAGTCATGGGATAAGGGAGGAAGTGAGAGGGAAACTGTTGTAAAAAAGAAAGGAAAAGACAGAGAAAAGAAAGAGAGGGAAAGTGGGAATAAGATGAGGAAAGGAAACAAGGGTCCTTTATTTCTACTAGACCACTTTCTATTTATTTATAGTAATAATTTTAATAATTTTCTGTGTTATTCTAATTGTTTTTAACATGTGATAATCGTATTTAAGAGAATATAAAATAAATGACCTACAATAACTTATAAGTCAAAAAAAAAGTAAGTCTAGTGAAAAAGAAAATAGTTATCTTTTATTCACATTTAAATTTTATTTTTTAAAAGTTAAAAATAAACAAATCATTTCAATCTTCTTATTAAGATTTAAATGCCAACAAAAAAATTATGGAATTCAAAATTTTTACTTACTCAAATGAATAAATTAATCAATTAAATAAAAAATTTTCCCGAAATTTTGTTTTATTTTTTTTAATTTTTTATGAGAGATTGAGAGATTTGAACGCGATAAATAGACATAGCAGCCCGACAGCCAACAACAACAGTAATTGAATGGTACAATAACCTTTGACGACGACTCCCTTCGAAACCCTTCCGCCCTTGCTTTTTTTAGTTTCACTCTCCTTTTTAACAAATTAAGCTAACTTTTTTTTCATTGTTGTCCTCACGCGTTAGGACGAACGTGAAGGGCAACTGCTCTGTTCATTGGGCCGTTGTGTGGCACGCGGGCTCTGGAGGTAATATGGGTTTCCAAAAGAAGTCGTTCTCTGGTTGGTTAGGTTTTTGTTGTTTCTTGTTCCCCTCAGCTCCTTGTTAGCCAATAGTGAATATACAGTTCATATTAAGAAAAAAAAAAGGATTTGTAATAATTAAATGAAAAACCTAAAAGAAAAAAGAAATGGGTATTTTTTCTTCATCCTAAAAAAATAAAAACATCTTAATTAAAATTTCATAAATTTTTACTGTAAAAGTTTATGAATAGAAGTTGATGTTTGTGGATTTATGTCCATATCACTATCTACTAGCATGACACATCAATATGGTGTGACATAGGAAAAATGAGAGATCCTGTTTTCTTGGTGTTGAACATAAAGGCAGAATTCACACATAGTTGTGAACAAAGACTTTTTCTAATTTGTTCTTTTTCGGCTGGAAAAAATGGAAGATTCAGTAAATGATTGGAGGAGTTGGACTCTTTACATGCAGTTTGCATCTTAACTGCCTTTTCTCTTGTGCTGCTGTACTTTTTGACCATTTTTGTTTATCTAACATACAAAAGGAGGAAGAAGAGAAAACACTGAAAGAAAGAATGAGAAAAAATATGTTCACACGCCCATCACGAGCCTATATTTGAGCTTTTCAATCAAAATTCTGTCTACATTCTTCAGCTGGCACTAGTTAGCTTGAAGACATGAGAAAAAAAGAGAAGAGTTACTGCTGATTCAAAGAAATATATAGGTATTCAACTTGGTTCGATATACTTTGATGGCCACAAGTCGGCAAGAAGAAATTATCCTGTATTTTTATAGGGATAGATGTTATTAACTTTGATCTGCTGCTTGATGATCTTGCAGCGATGCTACCACACACTGCTTGATTTTCTGCTCAAACTCCTCCCTGCTATCCCTCCATTCCACCTGCAGTCAACAAAATCAATAGAATGTCAAAACTTCAACAAATAAACAATGCATCAGACAGGCAACTTCCAAGATGTTAAGTTCAATAACTTTTCAAGTTATAATTCTTAAACAATGCGTTGCATGCAAATCAGAAAGACAAGTTCCATTCCAGTAATAGTAGTAGCTTTGTACTAGAATTTGCTTTAACTTTGTTAGCACAGGCCAAACACTAGTGTGGGATTCATATCTGTCATCTCAAGTTATTAAAAATTATGGACCAGAAGACACCTTGACATACTGAAGACTTACCGCGGCATCTTCTTTGGCGGGGGGCTTCATCATCAGGGCTAGAGAGCATTGATATGATGCCCAAAAATATACTTTCAACGTGCAAATCAGAACCAGCAATCAGCAGAAGAAATATTTGTATTCAGCAAAAACAGGGTTGTGTAACAAACAGTAGAAGGCAAAGCTGAAGATATTGACACTACTTGAGTAACTCAGAAAAAGTGATTTCAAAACAGATGGAACTTTAGCTGAAACGTTTTCAGCAATTCTATAATTATAAGGTAAAACATAATGTTTGTCATGTATAATAGAAAGGCGTTTGTGTTTCTTGTTCAAAAAAAATTACAAGGTAAAACACTTCTTTCTCAAGTTGTACTCTTTGTGTTCAAACAGTGAGATGTTAGAGTACATCTGGTGTATTTCTTCTGCCATTCCTCATTCTAATTAGCGCTTATTTGTGCAGCCAACCTTCGTTCCGTCTCATCACTAGAGCGTTAATATGGATTGGCCCGGTTCTACCCGGCCCAAGCCTTTATGAATTGGGTTGGGTCAATTTATTTTTATTTTTTTTAAAAAAATTATTTTTATAATTCTACCTAATAAATTTTTTATTAATAAAATTGTTCTATGATTAATTCATAAAAATGAATAATAAAAACATGTTACAATCAAACAAATTACACCAAATATAAAAAAATAAATAAATTACATAAATAAAGTTTAAATCTTTAACACAAACTACTATCCCATAAA